AAGGTGGTAGATTTTTTACGTAAATTTGCGTATGGTGGTAGATTTATGTTGGGTTTCTCTTTCTACAGGTCGATTACTAGAAAGCACATCGGGCTCTACAATATGCACGACATTTAGTTTCTGGAACTTCGGAAAGTGGGTATGAAGAACTGTCATCTTACTTATACATGATTAAGCGAGCTAATCCGGGGACACTTATAAAGCTTGATGTCGACGATGAAGATCGGTTCAAGTTTATGTTCATCGCGTTTGCTGCAAGCATTTACGGGTTCCCATACATGAGGAACTTTTCATCCTCACTACTCTATGCCTCTGTCACCATCACTTTCTTTTTTTATTTCTTCTTCTCACACGAGGTACTTTTTTCCTGTCGCTTCTTCTTCCTTTTAGGCATTTCTACAAAATCATTATCACTTCCCTCAACACTACTCTTCTCCTCCTTCTTCTTACTCTCCTTCTTCTCCCTCTTCACCTTCTCCTTCCCCTTTTTCTTATCCTTCCCCTTCTCCTTCTCCTTTGAATTGCTGTCAACTGTCTCCTCTTAAACTGTCTCATCTAAACATCCATCGAGAATATCAGTTAGCATATTGTGAAGCTTCGGATCCACGTCTGGCGTTGACTCCTCATCTGGCCAAAACGGATATATATCCTCTCGAGGAACCTCGACTAGATGTCTCACCCTAACCTGTAGACAAAGATAGATAAGTCAAAATCATAATGTTAACAAGTATACCACATATATATATATATATATATATATATCAAAAGTAATAATTAGTAATAAGTCTACCACAAGTAACAAGTCTACCACCACGTATATATATGTATAATATTAAAAAGTCTACGCACAAGTAACAAGTCTACCACCACGTATATATTTATATATGTCTAATACTAAAATGTCTACCACAAGTGATACTAACAAGTTAGCCACATAAGTGAAATGAAATGAAAATCTAATATATTATCAATCATATCTACCACCATAAGTACAGTTCATATCATATTTTAACGATAACTAATGTTATAACTACCAAAATACTATATTTGTATGAAAAACATACCTTTTTGTCATCGAATCTGCTTTTTTCTTCCTCCAAAACTTTCTCAAGAATGTATCTGTCTCTAGACGAACGCCAACGAAGTAGGGGATACAGTAAAGTGAGCGGATTGTTCTCATGTTTGCCAAATTTTTCTCTCAAAATCGGAACTGACTCATACACCCATATAAGCAGCGCATGCACACATCCATGAAAGGTGTAGCTGTCTCCTCCCAAAGATGCCACTTTGATGGATGTAATCATCTCCTTAAAACCGACACGCCCCCATGGATAACTCTCAAAAGCTTCATCATCCATAACTCTCTTCACACAGTTCAAAGGAAGTCGACTAATTCCGATTAATACCGAATATCCCAACGTGCAGTATGAACAGAAACGCAACCATCTTCTTCTTCTGATACGACCAAGTTTTGCATCTTTCAAATACCTCAACCAACTCATGCCAATTTGGCCCTAGACCTGCATTCACGCCAAGCTCTTCCCAGAACTCGTGGGGATCTATGTCCCACGGCTCATCCCCAACGGGCTAATAGTTGAGCCCGGTTATCACTTCAAACTCGTGAAGCGAAAACTGCACTGGACGCCCACTGATAAGTGACCAAATCTCATAATTCCGATCAATAGCCAGTTGGTTTATTATCATGTTATGGACAGTTTTTGCTGCCCATACGTACTTCCTCTCTGCAAGACTCAATACCACTCCTACTTGAGAACTGTTCCATATGTCATTGTAGACCTCCTCACCAACAGCCTCCTTCAACATCCCAAAATCCGTCAAATGACAATAGTTGTTCAAACTCCTCTTCTGAACAGGAGATTTCCCTGGGGGAAACAATCGGGGTGGGTATTTCAACTTCTTCCCGCTTGAAGATGCCATACAGTAGCTACAAAAGTAAACACATATATCACAAACAAGTCTACCACAGTCAAATTAAGTCTACCACCAAACAACCATCAAGTCTACCAACACATTTACCATCACAAAACAAGTCTACCATCATGTTTACCATCACAAAACAAGTTTACCACTAAAACAACATGTTTACAATAACTGAAAATGGCACAAAACAAGTTTACCATCATGTTTACCATCGCAAAACAAGTTTACCACTAAATCAGCATGTTTACAATAACTGAAAACGGCATAAACAAATCTACCACCACAGAGAAATTCAGTCTACCACCAAACAACCATCAAGTCTACCAACACGTTTACCATCACAAAACAAGTCTACCATCATGTTTACCATCGCCAAAACAAGTTGCCCATCATGTTTACCATCAACAAGTCTACCACCAAACCAGCATGTTTACAATAACTGAAAACGGAAAAAAATAAAAATCTAGTTACCTTTTCTCGGTTCACTTTCTCAATAGTCACCGGATTCTGTCGCCTACTCGTTGTTTTCTTCACCGGATCTCTGTTAACTGAAAGGAAAAAACAAATAGTCTGTTGAGAAACTTAACAATAAGTCTACCAAAACAACAATTTCGACCAATAATAAGCTAATAAGTCTACCAATTAAAAGTCTACCATCAAATAAATTTATCCGGTTACCTTTACCAAGCACTTTCTCTATCCTCACTGGATTCCGTCGCCTTCTACTCCTTGTCCTTGCCGGAATTCTGCTAAATAAAAACAAAATTCCGGTTATAGACTTCAACAATAATCTAGATCTACAAATCCGAAACCAAGGTTACCATCAAGAAAAACCATAGATCTACAAATGGAGACAAATCGACGGTGAAGGATCTTACTATTCAGTCGCCGTGAAACAAAGCAGCCGTCAAAAAACTCTTTCGCTGCAAAACAAAGCAGTTCTCGCCGTTTGTCTTAGGGAGGTGCCGCCGTCTGTCGTAAGGAGACGCCCGCCGTGTGAGAAGATGTAGGCGCCGCCGTCGCAGGTCCGAGAAGCTCGGGAGCTCTACCTTTGCTCCACCGTTGGTGCTCTTCGCCGTCGTAATCGGAGATTGAGTCAGTTTCTTCAAATCGGGCACAAAATCTCCCTCCCCTCGCGAGCTAATTTTTTTTTTAAAGGTTTTGTTGTTTTTTTTTTTTTTCAAAACTCTTTCTTTTATCAATTTTATTATTTTTGATCATTTATTTATGAAAATGACATTTTTGTTATTATATCCAAAATTTGGATTTTGATGTCTTTGCACAACTTTGTAAAGTTATTTTAATTAGTCAGTTGTAGAATGATGTTATTATAATCAATACCTATTTTATAAGATTATTCTAGGTAAATAACTCTATATATATGTTAAAGAAATCGTTTATTTCCATTTCAATTTTCATTTATATAGGTAAACTTTCTAGTCATCAAGCATTTAGTTCATCTACCAAATCCAGGAAAGTTTTATTTGGGAGTTGTAATTTAATCGATGTCTTTTAGAAAAATTAGGAATAAGAGTGTACCTGTTCAAAGACTAAGTATTCATTTGCCTAATCAGCAATCAATCTTTTTAAAAGACAAAGAGCAGTTAAAAACGATTGCTACTAATATGAAATCCCAACAAAACATGTTTACCAGCTGGTTAGACATAAATAAACATGATCTAATAGCACGTGATTTGACATATGCTCAATTTTCAAGTAGATATGTGTGGAATTAAAGCCAACACATTTGGACTAAGAGAAAAATTGGTAATTCAATTGGGAGAATTCAATCTTCTGGGGAATTATAATATTTTCGAATGTTAATCAATTATATAAAATGGTCTATAAATTATGAAAATATTGCTACAGTTGACGGTAATACCTATTCTTCCTTTAAAAATGTATGTGTAGCAAAAGGTTTAGTAGATGAAGATGAGAAATGAGAGAAAATAATAATCAGTAGTTAAATCAAAATATTTATATAAAGATCATGTTTTGTTAATTATTATTTCTATTTTCTTGTAACCATGTAGTATTATTATGTCCACTATTATTTGCAATATTTATGATATCTTCTTCAAGTAAAATGCAGATCAAAAGTGGTGTGATATATTTTTATTCATGCTATATTATTTTGAACCACATTTTTCGGGTTTAATTCTCTATCCAACTCAACTCCGTCTTAACAATTTCAAGAGCTTTGAGCGAAATACAAAATATATATGAACCTTTTATATTATATTAATAAAAAGTAATTGTATTAATCAAAATAAACCAAACTATAATTTATTGACTTTTAAAAATATAAAATAAATTTGTAGTTTGTTAAAAAATACATAACTAGTTTGTATAATATTTTTTTACATAATAATTCATTCAAGTGCATCATTTCTGTAAATTACATAAAAAATTCATCAAACCTAAAAATACAAAAGAATATTAATTATTTTTAGAAAAATAAAAAATCATATATATTTTTTTTCCAAGCTTTATTGATGCAAAATTATTGATAATTATTTCAAAATTTATAGTTTTCAAAACTTCATTTTCAATGCATAAAAGTACAAGACTATTCAACCTATGTTAAAACATTGATCTGATTTTAAAATTCTATATAATTTTAAATAATCAAGATGGTTATTGTTTTGTTAACAAAAAAAACAGTAAAGCTGTAATCCTTTTTGTATAAGTAAATTATGACCTCTTATTCATAATTTAATAAATTATGAGCCTTTTTATACTTAAAATTAATTATATATTTATAACTATCTTAAAGAATATATATTTAACAACTATTATAATATATAAAAAAAATTGAGCCCTTATATGTTAGGTATAATTTCTTTTGTATAACTAAATCATAATCTTTTTTTATTAAATGGTTCATGAGCATATAAATTAGTTGTATTTAACATATTATAACAAAATTTTCAATAAAAAAAAAATTGAATCTTTAAATTTTTGGATCCATGACCATTGTCCTTCCCGATGCGTGAGAGCCGGGGCTGTTCCAACTGCTATATATAATAACTTCACCATTATCGATAATACGTTTTGATAGTAAGAGCATCGGTAATGTACAGATGCAATAAATTTTGTAAGTGAAAATAAAAAGGAAAAAAGAAATAAAAAATGATGTGGCATATCAGTTATTTAGAACCGTAAAAAATGGTTCTCTTTTTCTTCTCCCCCCTGTTCTTTATCTTTTTCTCCCCCCAAAATTGTGATTCCCAAACCCCTAATTTACAATATGAAAGAGCATCGAAATTCATTGTTACAATTGAGTCTGATTCTATAAGTTTGTTAACCGAAGACTTTAAATTTGAAAGCGGAAATTGGAGTTCCTATCTTTACTTTGTGTTCAGTTTTGCTCAAAAGATTACAATCATGGGGGAAGAAGAGAGCTGTCAAGTACTTTGTGGTAACCTCTCTTTTTTACTCTTTTCTGTATTCTGGAATTTATTTTCAGATCATTCACTTATAAGATCGATGAACTTGGTGTTCGAAAGGTCAATGCTTTCACTGGCTTTCAAAGGGAATCCAGCGGCTGTTTGTTTCCTCGACGACGACAACGACAGAGACGACGCCTGGCTTCAGTCTGTCGCCGCCGAATTCAACATCTCCGAAACTTGTTTCCTTACTCCGATCACTGGCTTCGAAGCACGCTTCCATCTCCGGTGGTTTACCCATTTAGCCGAGGTTCGGCGACTTTTTGACTTCCTTTCTTCTGAAAGTTTTTTACTTCCGACTGTTCAATGTTCGAGAGAAGTTGATATCGAATTCACGAGCTCTCTAGGGTATCTTTTGGACTTACTATTGATGAATTCCCGTCATATTCAGTTCGCATATTCTTGATTTGGGTGTATCCCATATCACATCGTCATTGTGATGCTTAATTAGAGCTAGTTTTGAAGCTCGTCCATTGATTTGTACAGGTGAAGTGAAAGGGAAACCTTCTTGATCAAGTTGAATTTCCCTGTGGTTCCAACTAGTGATATCAATCTCAATGATGCCCTTGAACGGAGCTACCATTGTTGATATAAAAGTTACTACGTCAAGCAACATCCTCGTAATGTTTCAGAAACTGTCCACAATTACAATTTTTTGGTTTCCTAATCAATACATTTTTACGGGTTTTGATTTGCATATGTGCTCAAGGTATTATGAGTTAAGATTTATTCATATATGCTCATATTGAGAACAGATTAACCGAATATCCTGGTAATTGCATCATAATCTTTCTTATGTCTTTTGATTTACTCTCTTATGCACTTGTGTTGCAGGTTATGTTTCAATCTTTAAAATCTGTCAATGAATTGCAACCAAGAATGGATGATATATTGAAATGCCCTTGCGATGGCATCCTTGTGACATCTGCTGCCTGAATATGAACAAGTGTGATTTCTTAGCCTACCAAGTAATCTTTCTAGTCTCTTTTAATTTTTGAAGTAGTGTTTTTAGAGAATGATTTTGCGTTTTTGGAAATCTGGTTAGTGTCTTAAAAATAGAATCTCTCCAATGTAGGTCTCACAATTAAGAATAAGTTAATGGAGTGTTTAACAATTCTGACTAGAATCATTAGTTGGATTTCACTAACTATTTATGTAAAGTTCATGTCGTATCAATTAATATATTTATCATAACGGGAGGACATATATAAAACACAAAAGTTACAGAATATTTAAAACACAAAACACATTTGCTATCTAGCAAAATTCACACTGAAAGAAAAAAAAAAATCAAATCACCTCATTAATCTTATCAGACGAATTATATTGGCTTTCATAAATATGATCATGTTGCTCTTCATCTCGTCAATCCTAATAAATATGTACAATAAAGTTTTAGCAATAAATAATAATAAATACACAATTTAAACAACTCCTATCAACTTGTACGGGAGCTCAACGTGCATTTTTGTTGAAAAAAAAATATCACTTTAGTTTCAACACGGTTGTAACAAGTTCGTCAACCATAGTATTACCAACAAACTCATCCTCATGTCTATCTTTCTGCCAAGTATTTCAACAAAATGATGCAGTTAAAGATAATACAATCAACATTAAAACCAAATAAGTCTGGAGATTATTCAATTATCGTCAATGTGACCAAATTTAAGATTACTACAAAAAATTAAAACCACTTAGTTTTCTTCCTCATTGTACGGCTTTGCAGGAGGTTCAATCACTAAGTAATTATATTGTGCGTTCCACTGAGTATTCACGTTAGCTTACTAAACTTTCTCCAGTCTTTCTTTTTGTATTTGCTTTGTTGACATAGGTTACTCTTCGGCTTAGGTGGCCAGGTTTTAGGCAACATCTCCGATTTCTTTAGTCCTAATTGCTTGAAGATTATATTAGGAAGTTTAAATGCGACAGCATCAAGGCATATACATGACACACGTGAAAAAACCATAAGCGATTGAGTTGTGTACTCCTTGGGCAATTCAACTTTCCCCTTAGAAATGGTATAAGGCTGCCAATTAACCCGTGAAAATATAATCAAGTATTTGATTTAAACAAATATACATAACCATACATAGATGAGTGCTTTTGTTTAAAGGGAGAGAGTATAGTGCCAAAGAGACAGTGAACTGATAGAGGATGCAAAATGGTGGGGGCGTAGAAGTGAGGTGGAAGTACAAGAAAAGAATAATTCTGGAGCAGGTTGAGGAAGGGAACAAGACAAATAGAAATCATCCTCAAATGGTGGCTAAAATGTAACACTGCTAGGGCAATTCTTGTTATGCGCATATTTTGTTATCAAGAAGTGGTCATTAAATTAGATGCCAAGGCGGTAATCACTGCAGTAGCAAGAGCCAAATCCTAACAAACACCCTCTAATCCAGGTCATTCTTGAGCTTTTATCCCTCATCCCCAAAGCTTATGTTGCATTATATCTTAGAGATGACTAATAGAAAGCTAAGAAGTCTCTTTCGGTTTTAGATTATGACCCTAGGCTGTATGCTATTTTGCCAAGTTGGATCAAACAAAAAATATTATGTATAAGCGTTGTATTAATATCTTGGAGTAATGAAAAGTGGATGTTGAGGCAAAAAAAATAAAATAATGAAGTATTACCTCATCTTTCTTCATGTTTTTAACATGTTTCGATATTCGTCCACATTCGTTACTTCACAGGTTTTGTACATGGTTTGTATACATCTATCCACCCCAACATTAAAGGAAAACTAGATGGTGGAGATACTTCACTTCGTAAGACACGAAAACACGAAAACGCTTTAATGCAAATACTTATAAGAAAAAAATATAAAAAACAATAATTGTCAGTAATCATCATTCATATAATCAAAGTAATTAATTTTTGTTTAATTTGAAGTTTTTATCTGCACAGCATAAGAAAAACCACATAGGGTTGTGGTTATCTTTTTAAGAAGTTTTTTCTTCATTGCATCTACTGATGTTTTGAGGACATCAAACATTGTTGTGCCCCAAGCATACTTATTGATTTTTTTTACTAGGAGTGGTAGAAACATTGCAGAAATACCTCTGGTATTGTTAGGATTAACCACAATTCCCAACATGATCAAGAGATATGCTATAAAGTAAGGCTCTAAATCCTGATCATCATTATCCTCTGACACCTTTTCAAAGTGAGATTTTAACTTTGTAGTATCGATGCTATATGATTTACATTTTGACTTTTTAAGAAACAATGCTTTAGCTTCATTCTCACTTATTTTTAAATATTCTATAAATTGTTTTACAACGTCCTCCGTCTCAAATCTTAATATCTATACCAATTGAGTATATAATACATAATAAATGATAAATCTGATGATGAAGTAAAGTTCAAAAGAAATACTTGTACATGTACTAATTGAGCATACAGTAAATAACAAATGACAAATCTGATAATGAAGTAAGGTTCAAAAGAAATACTTGCTTGCCATCAATGGAAAGTCCAGTAATATACAGAATGTCTTCGAGGCCAAAATCAATCTTGAAAACCCCTTTCTCTTTCTTAAAGCAAAAAGCATGTTGTTCTGAATCATAATAGTGCAGTAATCCTGTAAGAAGTGAAGAAGTGGTGAATTTATCTTATTGTGATTTCTTCCAATATTTAAAAAATATTTGAAGCATGTGTCTTCCACTAGGCGTGACACCCTTTTATCAACTTTCCAAGAGGTAAACTTGTTAAGATGCATTGCAGTATCAATAATTTTTTCTCGCCCCCTGCAACAAAACATGTACCACATAAGTATTTTTTATAATTTAATTTATACGAAGAACAAAATATAATATTAGTTATATGGTTTATGCAAATACCACACCAAGAAATATACACTAGTCTAATCAAAAAAAATTTTTGCTAAAATATAAATTAAAATATTTTGACCAGACTAGTGTATATTTTTTGGTGTGGTATTTGCATAAACCATATCACTCATATTATTTTTTGTTCTTCATATAAATTAAAATATAAAAAAAACTTATGTGGTATAGGTTTTGTTGCAGGAGGCAGGAAAAAGTTATTGATACTGCAATGCATCTTAACAAGTTTACTTTTTAGAAAGTTGATAAAAAAGTGTCACGCCTAGTGGAAGTTACATGCTTCAAATATTTTTTAAAGATTGGAAGAAATCACAATAAGATAAATTCAACACTTCTTCAGTTCTTACGGGATTGTTGTACTATTATGATCCAGAACAACATGTTTTTTGCTTTAAGAAAGAGAAAAGGGTTTTCAAGATTGATTTTGGCCTCGAAGACGTTCTGTATATTACTGGGCTTTCCATCGATGGCAAGCAGGTATTTCTTTTGAACCATACTTCATTACCAGATTTGTCATTTGTTATTTACTGTATGCTCAATTAGTACAGGTACAAGTATTTCTTTTGAACTTTCTTACATTACCGGATTTATCATTTGTTATTTATTATATGCTCAAATGGTATAGGTATCAGGATTTGAGGTGGAGGATGTTGTAAAACAATTTATAGAATATTTAAAAATAAGTGAGAATGAAGCTGAAGCATTGTTTCTTAAAAAGTCAAATTAAATCCTATAGCATTGATACTACAAAGTTGAAATCTCACTTTGAAAAGGTGCCAAAGGATAATGATGATTTGGATTTAGAGTCTTACTTTATATCATATCTCTTGATCTTGTTGGGAATTGTGGTTATTCTTATACCAGAGGTATTTCTGTAATGTTTCTACCACTCCTAGTGAAAAAAAGTCAACAAGTATGCTTGGAGCGCAACAATGTTTGATGTCCTTAAAACATCAGTAGATGCAATGAAGAAAAAACTTTTTAAAAAGAGAACCACAGCCCTATGTGGTTTTTCTTATGCTCTGCAGGTAAAAACTTCAAATTAATTACTTTGATTACGTGAATGATGATTACTGACAATTGTTATTCTTTATATTTTTTCTTATAGGTATTTGCCTTAGAGCATTTTCGTGTATTACGAAGTGAAGTATCTCTACCATCTAGTTTTCCTTTAATGTTGGGGTGGATAGATGTATACAAATCAGGTACAAAAACCTGTGTAGTAACGAATTTGGAGGAATATCGAAGCATGTTTAAAAACATGAAGAAAAATGAGGTAATACTTCATTATTTCTTTTTTCCACTTTTCATTACTCCAAGAGATTAATACAACGCTTATACATACTGTTTGTTTGTTCCAACTTGGAAAATAGCATATAGTCTAGGGTCATAATCCAGAAACGAAAGAGACTTCTTAGCTTTTTATTAGCCATCTCTAAGATGTAATGCAACATAAGCCTTGAAAATGTGGAATAAAAGCTCTAGAATGGCATGGATTAGAGGGTGTCTGTTAGGATTTGACATTTTTCTTGCTACTGCAGTGATTACCGCATTGGCATCTGATCTAAAGACTATTTCTTGAAAACCAAACATGCGTATAGCAAGAATTTCCCTGTTATTGTTACATTTTAACCAACCATTTGAGGGCGATTTCTATTTGTATTGTTCTCTTCCTCGACCTGCTTCAAAATTATTCTTTTCTTGGACTTCCACCTCACTTCTCTGCCCTCACCATTTTGCATCTTCCATCTGTTCACTGTCTCTTTGGCACTATACTCTCTCCCTTTAAACAAAAGCACACATCTTTGTATGGTTATGTATATTTGTTTTAAATCAAATTCTTGATTATATTTTCATAGGTTAATTGACAGCCTTATACCAATCCCGAGGGGAAAGTTGAATTGCCCAAGGAGTACACAACTCAGTCGCTTATGGTTTTTTCACGTGTTCCATGTATATGCTTTGATGCTGTCGTATTTAATCTTCCTAATATATTCTTCAAGCAATTAGGACTAAAGAAGTCGGAGATGTTGCCTAAAACCTGGCCACGTAAGCCGAAGAGTAACCTATGTCAACAAAGCAAATACAAAGATTGGAGAAAGTTTAGTAAACTAACGTGAATACCCAGTGGAGCGCACGATATAATTACTTAGTGATTGAACCTCCCGCAAAGCCGCGGGAGGAAAACGAAGTGGTTTTAATTTTTGTAGTAATCTTGAATTTGGTCACATTGACGATAATTGAATAATTTCCAGACTGATTTGGTTTTGATATCGGTTGTAATATATTTAACTGCATCATTTTGTTGAAATATTTGGGGATGAGTTTGTTGGTGACACATGGGGATTATTTTATGGTAATTATTAATTTATAATATTAATGGAACCATATATTTATATCGATTTTTCTAAAAAAATATTATCTTATCGATTTGTATCATATTGAACAAGCCCAATTTGGGACTAAGAAAATATTTTAATTTATTTAACTAATAATATTTAATAGATAAGTAACAAATTATTTAACTAATATTATTTAATTATTTAATAGTCAAAATTAATTAAATATGTATATAAATTGTATATCTAAATCTTGGACATTGATGAAAATAATGAATTATATCATCAATTACGGGATATAGAAAATCTGTATGGTAACTTCATATTTTTACCCAGCTATATCATGTGTTATGCATACTACTTAATTTTTCAATTAATATACATTACAATTATATTATTTTATATTTCATAAAAAATAAAAAAATGAAATTTTCAATATTATTGTATAATATTATATAAAATTCATATCAATTTAATTTATATTATATAATTTTAAAAATATATTAAATATAAATAAATAATAATTATTTCACCCCGCACAAAGTGCAGGATATTACCTAGTTAGTTTAGTAATCTAAGTCTTTTTAAAAAAAAATTAGCTGAGAATAAATGTGGACTTGACACATCAACATAATTATATCACTGGAAATATCTACAAAAATAAGATTATTCTTTAAAAATATTTTCTTTAATGAAACCATCATTGTCCAAAGAACTTAAAAATCTATTTTTCCTCCAAATCAAAAGCCATCATTGTTTCCCAACATTCCTCATAAAATTTGCTCGTTTGTGACATCACATGGTTCTATTGTGAACCAATCTCCTCACAATATTATCCAAAAATATCATCCTCGAGTGTAGGTAACCCATCTCAATAAAAGAAACCAGGAATTGAAGATCAAGACAAAAAAACCAGAAATAAAAAAGCCAAAACCTCACAGAGAACAAAAACTAGAATCTTTCCAGAACAAGTAATAAATTAGCAAGACCTATATCTTTATTAAGTATCATACTTTCCAGAACAATGCATAAATTAGTGTGATCGAATTATAAACCACTATAGCTCTTGTACTGCAAAAGCTATAAACCTGGCTGGATCTGAACCAAAGTCGGAACATAACTGAGGAGAAATGGGCGAAATCTTTTTGAAGCAATGTGATCCACTTGTATGTCTTTACCCTCTGCCACAATGTGTATGTTTTTGTAAGAGGAACCGGTTTTATCATTGCAACACACCAACACTTTGTTCTGCTTGTCGGCCACGAAACTCATCGTATAACCAAAGTTATGGTTGGATTTGGCTGTTAGGAATTTGGTCCATGACATGACCCCGGTACTCCCAAGCTTGGATGTCATCCATACATTTACATTTGATGAATCACCGTCCATATAAGTTACTAGACAAAGTTCCTCCTCTCTAAGCACCGATAAAGCCCTGATACACTTAAAATCAGAAAATTGAGGAAGAAGCTGAGGTTGGAATCTCTCTCTTGAAAAATCGAACCTTAGCAAGGAACTAAGATGTGTCTCTCGGTTTTCTGCAAGCCAGTAAGCATTTCCCTTCACAGATACTCCACCACCACGCACGCCCTCTGCTACGTACCAGTCGGTAGTCACACCAACAGCTCTCCACGAATTGGAGGTGAAGTCATATATTTCGAACTCAGTATAAAATGGTCTACTACAGCGATACTGATCCATCCGCAAGATTTTGTAACAGCATGATTTGTTATCGTAACCGAGAGCACAACAGTCGGATATCTTGTAGGAGTTTCTTGGTTGGATCCACCTGGTTTCACCTGAACACGGGTTCCAAACTACCAGTCTATCGTCTTCGGTCGTGCATAGCAATAAACCTTGGCAGTGAAAGATGCTGCGTATATCGACTTCTTTGGAAGAATTAGAAAGAGGATCTTTGAGGCTGAAATGATGTGTTGTTTACCTTTGGTGATGGAGCAACGCTTTCGTGGAATCCACGGAGATCGACGGTCACTTGATAAACCCTAAAATCAGTCAACACGACTGCCTGTGTTTCTTAGCAAGCCTCCCATTTGTCACAAGAGCCTTCCATCTTTTGGATGTTGATCGTCACCGTACCAGAGAAATCACCGGAACCCTAGATATTATATCCTCCAGTAACTCCTCCGGAAGATCTACTATTCTGTTCGTCATCTCGAAAGCCGCCGCTCTGATTAGAAACTTAGGTTGAATTTTACAAGTACCAATGTAGCATCCTTTTTAATATCCGTGATTTACCCTATAAATTTCTAAATAATTAAAAAAAGATTTAAAAAAATTAGACGAAATTAAAATTCAACAAAAGAAATAGCAAAATATTTTTTTAATTTCCTAATAATGAACTTGGTGAATACAAAATCATATATATAGATAGATACAAGAATTTCACTAAAATATGAGTATGGGAGAAAAAGCGGTCGCGTGATTATATTGATTCGTGAATGATTTTACACAAATCTTTTGTCTCCTGTTTCACACAAATCTCTGCACAAGACTATGAACATTGAACAAGTGATAAAAATTGTAGTCAACGGTTTGAGCTGAGAGTCGTGTTGTAGTCAATGCTTTTATTCTTTTAAGTCTATTATTAATGAGAACTTTTTATTATTTTAGACGGAGTACACGTGTCACTATTTTAACGAACCAAACCCAACTTAAATCGGGGGTTCACCTCAAATTCCTATTCTTCTTCTTTCTTGTGTGTTTTTTTTGGGTTTTTTCTTTTCTTCTTAAAATCCAAAAAACAAGGCACCAATCGAAAACAAACCAAACCTGATTCATACCTGATCTACGACAAAAACACTTTCCCTCTCTTTACTCTGATCCGATCTGTCCCTCGTTTTTTTTTCTTCCATACATTCAATCTTACGGATCTTCTTCTTCTTCTTCTTGTTCGAATTCTGTCACCGTCGATTTTTTTCCGAGATCTGATCGTCGGTATCGAGAATTTGAGATGGCGAGGAGTAAAGTGGTTAGTGGAAATGGGATATGGAAATATTTCAACCCATCGTATTATCTCAGAAGGCCGAGGCGTCTTGCTTTGCTTTTCATTCTCTTCCTCTCTGTTTCCATCGTCGTTTGGGATCGTCAAACTCTTGCCCGCGATTACGAGGTACTTTTGTCACTCTATTGAATCTCAGTTCTTTTGTATGTGTGTGTTAAGAGATAGCTCTAGCATCATATAGCTCAATTGATAGACGCTAATCGAGTTTGGTGTGAGTAGTAATGTGTGTGTGACTCAAGCTCGCTCTTTTGAGTAAAACCAATGCACGTCCTAGAGTCTCTGTTTGAATTGCTCCATAATGAATTGAAAGAAGTTGCATTTTTTTTTTTAATCTATTATAATGAAGTGAATGTTATATGACTTTTCTTGCACTTGTGTGTGTTGCAGATTGAAGTTTCCAAGTTAAATGAAGAAGTTTTTCGGTTGCAGCTTACGGTAAGATATTTCTTCTCCGTCTAGTCTTTGATTTAGACCCAAAACGCATCTTTTAATGTGGCATTTATGCTTGTCAGTGTCTGTATTTGGTTTCTTCAAGACTCTGGTTAACTTAAGTTAAGAGCTTATTCGATCTTGAGAAAGTTTAGGTTTTTATTAAGGTCTCAAATTGATTACAGTTGGAAGAGCTAAAAAGCGTCACAGAGGATGTATCTGTGAAGACTTTGAAGGATGTCCAAGATCCAATTGATGCCCAGCGAATGCAGAGAGTCAAAGAAGCAATGATTCATGCTTGGAGCTCATATGAAAAGTATGCCTGGGGACAAGACGAGCTTCAGGTACAGTTCATGTTTGTTTTAGTGACAAATGTAATGAAAAACTGATGCTCGAATTTGGTGCCTACCTTTGAAATTGTATATTTAGCTGCAATGCTATCAGCTTCATGTCAAGTTTCAACACTTTTCAGAGTCTTGCAAGTTATTGCGTTGTTTAACTAGTTAACACTTTCTGCTTGCAATGGTATGCAATAGATAGATATGTATGTGAAGCTATGTTTTTTTTTTCTTTTGGTATTATCAGCCGCAGACAAAAGATGGCGTTGACAGTTTTGGTGGCCTTGGAGCAACTATGATAGATGCACTAGATACACTCTATATAATGGGTCTAGATGAGCAGTTTAAGAAAGCCAGAGAGTGAGTAGATTTCCTCCATCCTCTCCAACTTTGCCGGTTTCATCTTCTTCACCCTTCATTTTCTTAAAAGTTTCTTTTCATTTTGCAGGTGGGTTGCAACGTCATTAGACTTCGACAAGGATTATTCGGCCAGCATGTTTGAGACAACCATAAGGTTGCATTTAACAGGTTTACCATGTTGTTTTTTTTCTTACATGTAGTAAGAAGAGTCATCTTGTTTAGGAGTATGTGGAAACGGAACGTGTTAGCATCTTCCCGCTTATAACTTTTTCTCTCTTTGTTGGCTTCCAGAGTGGTGGGAGGGCTTCTCAGCGCGTATGATCTCTCTGGGGATAAACTTTTCCTTGAGAAGGCTAAGGATATTGCAGACAGGTTATTGCCTGCATGGGACACTAAATCTGGAATCCCGTATAATATTATCAACTTGAGACATGGAAATGCTCACAATCCTACATGGGCAGGGGTATGTCCTAGATCACTTAATGTCTTATCATCTTTCATTATTCTCATCACCATCTCAGTATAAGCTATTATTGTTCCATGTTTACTTCTTTCTTGTACTAGGGAGACAGTATTCTCGCAGACTCTGGTACTGAACAGCTCGAGTTTATTGCTCTTTCCCAGAGGACAGGGGACCCAAAATATCAGCAAAAGGTGCGTTTCTCCGTTAGCTCGGTTGACTCATATCGTCGTAATTTTTATAGGAAATATTCTGCAACTCAATGGTTGGATCTGTTTGTAACTTGTGTCTCAGGTGGAAAAGGTTATTACAGTACTAAACAAGAACTTCCCTGCTGATGGTTTACTTCCGATATATATAAATCCCGAGACAGCTAATCCATCGTACTCTACCACGACGTTTGGTGCCATGGGAGACAGGTTTTTTTTTCCTACTTGATTGCATTTTTATATTGCTGCTCGTCTGAATCCATTCTGGTTTTGCTTTGGTTTGATATGTGGCGGCTAATGTTTTGCGTACAGCTTTTACGAATATTTGCTAAAAGTTTGGGTGTTTGGGAGCAAAACTTTAAAAGTGAAACACTATAGGTAAGCTTTAACTCTTCTCTACTGAGTATATTATATATATATGTAAGTCTTATAAGTAAAGCTGATTGAATTCAACTCAGCCAAATTTTCTTTTCTTTGGTGGTCTTGTAGTTTTTATATTTTTTTAGCAAACAAATAATTATTAGTACTGTTATGGGTTGAAATCTTGGCATCAGAGAAATGTGGGAGAAATCAATGAATGGTCTGCTAAGCTTGGTTAAGAGATCAACACCGTCTTCGTTTACATATATCTGTGAGAAGAGTGGAAATTCTTTGATCGATAAGGTATTACTCGTCCGTTCTTTGTTTCCATTGTGATACGTGAGAGTTCGTGTTGCCCAGTGTCATGTTTCTTTCTCATATTCATTCAGATGGATGAATTAGCATGCTTTGCTCCTGGAATGTTGGCTTTAGGAGCATCTGGGTATAAAGATCCTGCTGAAGCTAAGAAGTTTCTCTCTCTTGCTGAAGAGGTAAAAGCTATCATCAATCAGTGTTTCAGATCCCTCCAAATTTTCATTGCTATTTTTTACCACTTATCTGCAGCTTGCATGGACATGTTATAACTTTTACCAAACAACACCAACAAAACTGGCTGGGGAGAATTATTTCTTCAACTCTGGGAATGTATGCCATTTGCTTGTCTTTTTTCCAAATACATTTTTGTTTATGATAAAGTGTATATATTTGCTGTTTAGTATATACAATCCACAAACAAACATGATGATGATTTTCAGGACATGAGTGTTGGAACGTCGTGGAACATCTTGAGACCAGAAACTGTCGAATCACTGTTTTACCTCTGGAGGTTAACTGGGAACAAGACTTACCAAGAGTGGGGATGGAATATATTTGAAGCGTTTGAGAAGAACTCGCGCATAGAGTCTGGATATGTCGGTCTGAAGGATGTAAGTTCTCCTAAAAGCTTCATCATTTGAGTATAATCTGATGTTATGATTCTTCTTTGATATTTCAACTATTTCTCAGGTTAATACAGGAGTTAAGGACAACAAGATGCAAAGTTTCTTCCTCGCTGAGACGCTCAAGTATCTCTATCTCCTCTTCTCGCCCACATCGGTCATTCCCTTGGACGAGTGGGTTTTCAACACAGAAGCTCATCCACTTAAGATCGTGCCCTGGAATGACCAGGTGAATCTCGGACAATCTAAATCCAACAGCGTGCAGCTACGCAAACCACCAATTAGATTACGCCAGAGACGGTTTGGTCGGGTAGGAAATAAGTAAGCTCGCTGGCTCGAGAGAGGTCACGGTGTGAATCTTTTGGAACCGGCGTTGTGATTCGTAGAAAGGGACATTTCTTAACCGGGTAATGGAATTTGGCTTTGGCTATTCAAAGACCCTTTTAATTTATTCAAGGAACCATCTTATAAAGATTTCAAGATATTAGACACTTGTTGTATTGATTTGGACAAATTAACCATATATACAGGGTTTTTTTCCACACTTATACCTTGTCTTTCATTGTATTGGTTAGTATAATTTTTCAAGAAGTAACAATGAAAGATTTTCAATTTATTAACTGTCTAACAAAAACAAAGCACATGTGTATGCGACCAAAACACACAAAATCTACAAAAGACCGAAGTAACGCAGAAGAAATGTAATGGATGCAACAAAACAAACAAAAAAAAAACAAATTGCAACGACCAAATATATATCTCAAGAGACTTTTGTGTTGACTAAATCTCCACGTTACACCAAAAGAAGAAGAGTGACAATGGCGGCTAGTGCAAATGGTTTCAAAAATGACCACAGATCTCACAAGCCTCAAAACCTCTCGACACGTCATTTCTCCAATTCTCCAAACACCATTCGTTTCATTTCCCAATTTGCGAAGAAACATCTGGCTGACGTAATTTTCTGTGACAAGAAAGAGAAGGAAAAAAAAAATTAACAATGAAGAGGGAAAATTAATAGCCACACTATATCATCAACCATGAAACCATAAAGCTCCACCGTTTTTCTCTCCCTCGATCATAAACAACATCTCCTCCTTAAAATCTCTCCTCTCATCATCATCTTCTTCACTCCAATCCCATTTCTCTCTCTCTCTCTCTCTCTCTCTCTCTCTCTCTCTCTCTCTCTCTCTCTCTCTCTCTCTCTCTCTCTCTATAGTTTCGACCTGTGATCGGAGAATCGACTTAAACGGTTACCATTTGGGATGAAGATGGTGAAATCCTGTGAGCTGTGTGGTGGAGAAGCCGATCTACACTGCGCCGCAGACTCCGCTTTCCTCTGTCGGTCCTGCGACGCGAAGTTCCATGGCTCCAATTTCCTCTTTTCCCGCCATGTCCGTCGCATCATCTGCCCTGACTGCAAATCCCTCACCGGAGATTTCGTCTCCGGTCCTCTTTCGCCTTGGCCTCCGAGAACAACCTGCTGCGCTGGATCGTGCTCTTCTTCCGCCTCGTCTTGCTGCTCGTCTTTGGATCGTGTCTCCAGCTCCGAGCTATCGTCGACGACGAGGAAGACGCGCGTCGTGAACAGAGCGCGAGGGAGGGAAAACAGAGTGAAGGCCGTTGCGGATGGCATTTTAGTAAATTGGTGCGATAAATTAGGACTAAACCGAGATTTGAGAAACGCCGTCGTTTCGTTGGCGTCTCTCGCTTTGGCTGTGGAGAAGCCGAGGGCGACGACGAAGGTGATCTTAGCGGCGGCGTTTTGGTTCGGCGTTAGGAACTCGAGGAAGACGATGACGTGGCCGAGTCTAAAGAAGGTAGAAGCTGTGACCGGGGTTGCAGCTGGAATGATCCAAGCCGTCGAAAGCAAACTGGCTCGTGCGATGACGCTGCATCTTAGGCGGTGGCGCGTGGACTCGGAGGAAGGCTGGGCCGAAAACGACAACGTTTGAATATATTTTTATACCGTGGGTCCCGCGTTGCAACTAGTGGGCCTAGTGTTAGCGATTCAAGTTGTATCGTCGACGTGTTGATTTTTCTTTCCAAACGTTTAAAATGGTAGTGGAAACTAAAAATTCAATTCATAGTTTTGTAGTTCTTCAAATCCCTTACAACAATGATTACTTGATTAGCACAATATTTAAGTGAGCTACCGAAAAATCATATGATATTTTGAATCGAAATTATTGGTGTTATTATGTTAAAAACCAGTCATACAAATACAATCATAATCAGGTCCTGTTTGGAAGATGAGATTTGTGTTGTTAATCTTTTCCCTATTTTTCTTAACAAAAGAAGATTAATAACCTTTCCGTCAAAACAATTATTTTTTATTTAAAAGTAAAGTACATAATTCCTTCAATCCCTATCTACACAAAAAGCAACAAAATTAAAGAGTAAAATAAAAATAAAAACCTTTGTTCACCAGGAAAAAGAAAAAGAAAAAACCTTTATAAATGTTGTTTCAAACCCTATTCTGGAAAAGTCCCTAATCCTGAATAAGCTTTACTTTCAATAAAGTTCGTCTGACGAATCTGCCATAGTGAAAGATCGGACTCTTTGAGCTAAATCTTACTCTCCTCTCCGTAGAAAATCAAACCATGGAAGCTCTCTCTACTTCAGCATACATATCCAATTTGCCGCAGGCAAAGCCTCTCCTCAAATCTTCGCTGCTACCCGCTTCATCCCAGCCTTCGTGCTGGTTGTGTAATTCGCCAGCCGCTAAGCGAATCCCCAAGCTGAGAATCAGGGACGGATCAAGTCATGGGCTTCGGATACAAGCTCTCTTGCATAACGAGACGCCAAGTGAAGGTGAAGATAACATCGCCGAAAGTAGTGGGTTTGGCTTTTTTCCTGGGGATATCTTCTCTTTATCACAGGTACTCACTCCTTTTCTCGTGTTTTGTGAATCTTTCATGATAAAGCTAGTTCTGGACAAACTTCAATGCAGAGTTTTGAATTGAATCGAGTCTTAGATTGGTGTAAAGATGAATTTGAAATAGAGTGATAATCCCATTGGTTTTAATTCAGAGTTTGTATTGAATCGAATCTAAGACCGGTGCAAAGATGAATTTTTTGAAGTAGTTGATAATCCCATTGGATGGGTTGCTTTGGGATTATAGGCTAATATAGCTTCTGATGTTGTGTGAAGGAAAAGCTTGAGAGTAATCTCAACGGTGAATCTTCTCATAGTGTAATAGACGTGGAGTCGTCTCTTGCACTTCCTCAGGGTGCTGGGGGAAATCGTGCAGGGCTTTTCAGAACCCCAATATCTGGTGGGGTTCAAAATGCAACATCAGCTCATGCGTTACCTCGTCCTGCTTTAGCTGTACGGAACTTGCTTGAACAGGTAAAAGGGTTTGGTTCTTTTTAGATTGTTCTGTAGTTCCTTTTTACTCTAGTGAGAAAGATGATGACAAATTCTTTACCTGTCTGGTTTTGTTTAATGATTCAAGGCTAGGTTTGCTCATCTATGCACAGTGATGTCTAAAATGCACCATCGTAGGGAAGGGTACCCATTTGGCTCTTTGGTTGATTTTGCACCTGATCGCATGGGGCGTAAGTCACTGGATCTTTCTTTCTTTGTTGACTGCTCATGTTTCTACTGCTGCTTTCTGTGTATGCTGAGGTTTATCGTTTTAACAACTTACTAGTGGACAATTTATCCATAAGTATTCAACTCCTCCCACTGTAAAAAGTTTATATTGATTTGGGTTTTGTGGGGATGAATAGGAGGGAAGTGAAACAATATCGTTTTCTTTCTTTATCCTTTTGTCCTTTAATCTCATTATGGATGTAAATGTAGGATATTGTTTTGGGTCCTTGATTAGTATTGAAGGCAAATCTTAAATAGTACATAGAGTGTCTTGATTATACTGGCTGAGATAATAGATGCAGATTTTCTTGAATGGCTTATCCTTTTTGTTTCCAGATCCAATATTTTTATTTTCACCGTTGGCCATCCACACACGGAATCTCCTGGCTGAACCTAGATGCAGTCTCGTTGTTCAGGTAACATTGGTTACTGTGTTTAAACTACAAAAGCAAAAGGTTTTCTCTTTTGTTCTGTAACCGGGGATTTGGCTTGCAGATACCTGGATGGAGTGGCTTATCGAATGCAAGAGTGACATTATTTGGTGATGTGTACCCATTGTCCGAAGATGAACAGGTGGGTGTCTGACTAATTGCTATATTTTTCTCCTTTGAAATATATGGGTTGACTATACATGTTATCTCACTTGCTGAAACATCTCTATGTCCGAGTAACGAGTCGTAATGTCTATGGTTGTCGCTTGGTAGGAGTGGGCACATAAGCAATATATTGCAAAGCACCAGCACGGGCTTTCCGAGCAATGGGGAAACTTTCACTATTTTAGAATGCAGAACATAAGGTTTTGTTTCCAAACTTGTGCCTCTTTAAGTTAGCGATACATATGTAGGATGATTGTTTGTTCTCATATTCTCAACTTATCCACTGTATACTCACAATGTGGATATTGGCAGTGATATATATTTCATTGGAGGGTTTGGCACGGTCGCATGGGTTGATGTGAAGGAGTATGAGGCTTTACAGCCAGATAAGATAGCTGTTGATGGTGGTGAGCACAACCTCAAGGTGCTTTGTAGACTCCAAACAAACTTGCTGCTCATTATTGGCCTTTTGTAAATTGAATTGATTTTTTAGTGTGCCTCTTACTTACTTTGCCATATAACTTCTGATAGGAACTAAATGCCATCTTCTCGAAGCCGCTTAGGGAGTTACTGTCCACTGTGTCAGAGGTAGACGACGCTGCTCTCATTTCTATAGATAGCAAAGGGATAGATGTACGGGTTCGTCAAGGTGCTCAGGTACAGTAACACTGTATAAAAACAATATTGTCCAGTTGATGTTAAGACCTTTTTTTTTTATCATGCACAGTGCTTCTCAGCTTTTCTTTCTTTGTTCAATTGTTTGGGTTTTGCAGTTCAGCATACAAAGGCTAGCGTTTGAGGAAGGTCATGGTGTTGAAACGCTAGAAGAAGCTAAATCTGCACTATGGAAAGTGATAGAGAAGGTGAAACTGAACTATTTCCAGAAATGACCGAAGATCCTGGAATTTGCAGAAATGACAAATCCCCTTTTCTTTAGAGGGGTCTTCAAAAACATTAGGACAATTAAAGTGTTGCTTGGTTCCTCTTTTTTGACTTAGCTCTAAAGTTTTGTAGTTTTCTCTATGTTTTTTGTGCCCTCCTTTTGTAGAGTAACAAAATGGGGGTAAACACGTTAGCCAGGAAATATGGGACTAAAATCTGAGTTTCTAATAAACTATGGACTTTCAAAGTAAAAAGCATTTTACTTAATAACCGGTTAGAGAGGTGTGTTGTTAACTTTGAATTTGAGTCTAGTACATGTAAACTTGGCAGCAAATTACAGTAGGCAGATAAATTACTTGTAAGCTCACCCCAAGACTAAGCTGATGATCAAAGCGGAGAGTGGTTCCCGACTGTGAAAGAAACCAAAGTTGTTGCGTTTCTCTAGAGTGAGCAAAATGATACTCACTCGGAAGAGACTCACAATGAAATCCCTCTGCTGAGAAATCAAAACTTACAGGTGGAGAAAGAAACCTCGATTTCTTTCGTGTCGTCTCATATTCCATATTGGAGATTGACTTTTACTAAATAAACCCTAAAATTAATCAATACGATAGCCTGAGACTGCCTTGGAGCATTAGTAGAGTGCTTTCTTCGCTAATCTCCCATCTTTGATCAAAGCGTTCCATCCTTTTGATGTGTATCGTAATTGTGCCAGAGATGCCACGGGAACTTGTGCTCCGCCAACGCCAACCATCCTCATTGCGTGTGGTTTCAATATGCTTCTATGCAATACCTAAATCTATTAAATGGAGTTGTTAATCACTGTCCAAGAAAATTCAATATAGCATTCATATGAAAAGAGACCATAAGAATCTGATGATCATTCGAGACAATATATGCTCGTTGAAGAAGAAAGTGACATCCTAATTTGGACATTATTTTGGCATTAAAATTAAGAATGCATAAATCACTAGCTCGTACTTGTTGGATTTGAGATATCTTGTTGAATTTGAACAAAACTTGGAACATAACTGAGGAGAAGTGGAGTAGGAGATCTCAGTGTACGTAGGTTTTGCACAAGAAAATTCTATTAAAATGGAGTTGTTAACCACTCTCCAAGAAAATTTAATATAGTAGTGTTAGAATAAAAAGAGACCATAAGAATTTAATGATCAAGACAATATATGCTCGGGCCATCCTAATTTAGACATTTAGTTTTGGCATTCAAACAAAGAATGAATCACTAGCTTCTAAAGAAAACAAATGACATGTTGTAGTGGATTCCACGGTAAATCAACGCTCCAAAGAACTAGAAGTATCTTGTTGGATTTGAACAAAACTTGGAGCATAACTGAGGAGAAGTGGGGCAGGAGAAGTATGAGTAGTGTTTGCACCATGAAGATCCACTTTTATGTTTGTATCCTCCCCCACGATGTGTATGATGATGTTGCTGGAGAACTGAAAGCGTTTTTTAAGAGACAATACCACTTTGTTTTCCTGGTCGACCAAGAAACTCATCCCACTATGAAGACAGCGGAGACCATCGGGTCTCAACAGTGTTAGGAATTTGGTCCACGACAAGGCTCCGGTACTCTCATTCCTAGTTGCCATATATACGGATTTCTCAGTCTCATTGGCACGAGTAACTAACATACAGAGTTGATCTTCTCTAGTCACTGATAAACACAAACGCCAATATTTAAGATGAAGAGACAGAGTTTGGAATCTCTCTGTTGAAAAGTCAAAACTTAGTAAGACGATACATTGCCCGTCTTGACTAATAGCAAGCCAGTACGTATTTCCCTTCCCAGACGTGCCACGCCGCTTCCGATTCCAACTATGATCCTGTGAAATGTACCAGTCAGTAGTAACACCAACAACTCGCCACGCATTAGAGCTAAAGTCATAGACTTCGCACTCAGCTTGAAATTTGGTACCAACAGGAAGTCGATCCATCCTCAGGATTTTGCAACAAGATGATTTGTTATCGTAACCGATAGCGTAGACGTCCGATTCCTTGTAGTAATCTCTGGGTTGGATCCACCTGGTTTCACCTGAACACGGGTTCCAAACGAAGAGTCTTTTGTCTTTGGTCGTGCAAAGCAGTAGGCCCTCGCAGTCGCAGTGATACACGTGGCTTATATCGACCTCTTTGAAAGAATTATAAAGAGGGTCTTTAAGGCTGAATTGACCTGTTACCTTGGCAGGTGGAACAACGTTGCCTTGGATCTCACGGAGATCAACGCTCAGTGAATAAACCCTAAAATAAGTAAGCAAGAGAACCAGAGACGGGCTTGGTGCAGAGTGCTTCTTAGCAAATCTCCCCTCTTTGACCAGAGCGTTCCATCCTTTGGATATCGACCGTAATCGCGCCAGAGATGACGTCGGAACCCTACACAGTATCTCTACCACCAAATCCTCCGGAAGATGGTTTATGCTTCTCTCACTCTTCATCTCTAAAGCAGGACTTGTGCTTTCAAAAAGGTTAGGGTTTCAAGAGTTGGAGATGTGTCTTTTAAGACCTAACATCAAGGATACAAAAAAATATGTTGCTTCTTTCTATTGTGGGCCCGTAATTGGAACGCTCTTTTGAATGTGGATCGTAATCCTGCCAGAGATGCCGCCGAAGCCCTTGTGAGTTTCCCCACTTGATCATCTTTAACGCAGACCGATCACTTGTGGGTCTCAATGAAACTTATGGTTGCAACTTGCAAGAGACGGAGATGGAGATTGAAGACGCCCACATCAAAACTGAGCCTCAAGACAAGAAAGAAGAGCTATGCACCTGCAACAACCTACCTCCCCAAACAAGTAAAAATATGATTATTACAAAAGACAAGACAAGTGTCGAATTATCACTGAGAGACAGTGTGTGGTCCAAGTTTGAGATCATGTTTGTACATCTCTGCACTGTAAATCGTTAGTGGTAAAAAAAAAAACCGTGCATTTTTTTTTTCAATCGTCTTATTCAGTTTCAAAATTCTCTCATGACATTGGTGAAACACTTGATCGTAATCCTTTCTTGTCCAATGTTTAAAAATGCTTCTGTGACGCCTAAAACTATTAAAATAGAGTTGTTAACAAGTCTCCAAGAAAAATCAATATGGGAGCTTATAAGTTATAACATAAAAAGAGACCATAAGAATGTGGTCAAGACAACATATGCTCGTTGAACAAGAGATAGCAAGTCTAACTTAGACATTATTTTGGCATTCCAATAAATACTACATAAATCACTAGCTCCTAGTACTTTCTTTTACCTCCTCCAAAGAACTAGAGATATCTTGTTGGATTTGAACAAAACTTGGAACATAACTGAAGAGAAATGGGGTAGGAGATCTATGTGTAGGTGTTGGACGATGAAGATCCACTTTTATGTTTTTATCCTCCCCCGCGATGTGTATGATGTTGTTGGAGAACTGAGAGGGTTTATTACAAGACAATACAACTTTGTTCTCCAGGTCGATCAAGGAACTCATCATAGTGCTCTCTAACGGACATTCCAACAGTGTTAGGAACTTGGTCCACGACATGGCTCCGGTACTCTCATACCTAGTTGCCATCCAAATATCTGTTTTCCATTCCTCAAGGCCGTAGGTAACTGACATACAAAGTTGTTGATCTTCTCTAGTCACTGATAAAAACATTTTCCAAAAAGGCTCTGTAAAAGGAAGATCCGGAGGAAGAGACATCCTTGGGAATCTCTCTGTTGAAAAATCAAAACTTAGTAAGAAGACACCGCGCTTGTCGTCATTACTACAAGCAAGCCAGTAAGTATTTCCCTTCACATACGTGCCACGATTCCAAACCCCATCCAGTGGAATGTACCAGTCGGTAGTAACACCAACAACGCGCCACGCATTAGAGCTAAAGTCATAGACCTCGCACTCAGTTTTATTTGAGGGAGAAGCTTCAAATTGATCCATCCTCAAGATTTTGTAACAAGAGGACTTGCTATCGTAACCGAACGCATAATAGTCGGATTCCTTGTAGGAATTTCTTGGTTGGATCCACCTCGTTTCACCTGAACACGGGTTCCAAACAACGAGTCTCTTGTCATCCGTAGTGCATAGCAAGAAGCCCTCGCAGTGAAAGACGTCGCTTATATCGACTTCTTTCGAAGAATTATAAAGAGGATCTTTAAGTCTGAATTGACTTGTTACCTTTGCAGATGGAACAACGTTGTCTTGGATTCCACGGAGATCAACTCTCGCTAAATAAACCCTAAAATCTATAAGCAAGATAACCAGAGACTGCCTTTGTGCATTAGCAGAGTGCTTCTTCGCAAAACTTCCATCTTTGACCAGAGCGTTCCATCCTTTAGATATCGACCGTAATCGCGCGAGAGATGACGTCGGAACCCTAGAGAGTATCTCCACTACCAAATCCTCCGGAAGATCTGTTGTGCTTCTCTCACTCATCATCTTTAAAACAGACTTGCGATTTCAAAGAAATTAGGGTTGCAAGAGATGAAGATGAGGGGTTATGAGACCTAAAACTTTTTTTTAACACCAAAACGTTTACAGATCACGTCATATGTTTCTATTGTGGGCTCTGTCCCACATCCAGCTCTATTTGGGCTTATGGGCTTGCTAACAGTTTCCACTGGAAAAAGGCCTCCGTTTCGCTTCTCCAGAAGCTGACGCTGTTTATTGAGACTCTCAACGAATTGACTCTATTCTTGTCTTAACTTCGTTAACCCGTTGAAGAAGTCATTACTATAGTACACATCAATAAGCCCTAATCATTGAAAAATACGGAAGCATGAACCTTGGAGTTTCTGCATAAATGTATAAGATTTTCCTGCAACAAAACGAAAAAAAAAACGGAATCTAAGAACAAAAGAGTTTGTGTTTGTTAGAAGATATACGTCAAATACACAAAATTTGGTCCAGATTGTTTACCTCAATCGCCCAAGATTTCTTGCGGCATAAGCAATGGTGGAGCTGCATCCTCCGTAAACGCCAAACCTCCTTGTGGAAGATAAAGAGATTCATTGTCATCTTCGACGTCAGGGTCTCCGGTTTTGGATAGAATCTCATCTTCTATTTTGGAAGAGTAGAGACAGTCTGACAAATTAGGTTCTAGAAATATCAACTTGCATTCATCTAGGTCTTAAGACCTTATATTTATACATACACAAGGTTACGACTAAAAGTAATCCTAAAAATCGAAAGAGGAAAATATACAATTCTATAAATATGTAATATACTTAGATATTCCAATACTCCCCTTCAAGTTGGAGCATATAAGTTAGTAATGCCCAACTTGAGTAAGAAAGTATCAAACTCCTTCTTTTCTAACGCCTTCGTAAGTATGTCCGCAAGTTGATTCTTCGTAGATACATGAACCGGTTTGATAAGACCTCGAAGAATATCATCACGAACAAAATGACAGTCAACCTCAACATGTTTCGTGCGTTCGTGGAAGACGGGATTAGCACTAATATGTATAGCTGGTTTACTATCACAGAGAAGCGACATCGACTCCCATTTCTTTAAGCAGCGTTTTAATCTAACGGAGTTCAGACGTAACTTCTGTCATAGCTCTATATTCTGCTTCAGCCGATGATCGCGAAACAGTGTCTTGTTTCTTACTCTTCCATACGATAGGAGATGATCCATATTGAACAATCCAACCACTAAGAGAGCGTCTCGTCAAAGGGCATGCAGCCCAATCAGAATCACACCAACCACTTACATGACTTGATGATTCAGCACGCAGAAGAATCCCCTGACCAATGGTGCCTTTGAGGTAGCGCACAACCTTCAAAGCAGCTAGCCAATGTTCCTCCCTTGGTTGATGCATAAACTGAGACAATATATGAATTGAGTAAGTAAGATCAGGACGTGTAGCAGCCAAATATATCAAGTGTCCCACTAAACGTCGATAACTTTCTAGATCACCAAGAAGTGGACCATCAGCAAGACTAAGTTTATGATTTTGATCGATAGGTGAGCCAGCCGGTTTGCAACCAAGAAGACCCACTTCTTGTACAACATCAGATGCATATTTGCGTTGGCAGAGATAAATTCCAGAAGAATTACGTGCCACTTCTAACCCGAGAAAATATTTAGCAGGACCAAGATCTTTCATGTGAAAACAGAGCGACAAGTACTCCTTAAACTTCTGAATTTCGGATGATGAGTTGCCAGAGATAATTAAATCGTCAACATAGACCAATATACGAAGTGAGACCTCATGTTTGGAATACACAAAGAGAGAATAATCAGACTTTGTTTGTGTAAATCCATAAGCTCGAAGAGATTCACTAAGTTTGGCAAACCAACATCGAGGTGCTTGTTTAAGACCGTATAGGGACTTCTGAAGGCGACACACTCGAGTTTCACCAGATTCTCCAAAACCCTGCGGCAGCTTCATGTAAACTTCTTCATGCAAATCTCCATGAAGAAATGCATTGTGAACATCCATTTGATGTACTTCATGATTCTTTTTAGCTGCAAGATCCAGGAAGAGCCGAACCGTTTTCATTTTAGCAACTGGCACAAATGTCTCATCATAGTCCAAACCCTCCGTTTGATGATTTCTAAGCGCCACAAGACGAGCCTTATAACGTTCAATCGTGCCATCTGAATGGTATTTAATCGTAAATACCCATTTGCAACCAAGAGCTCTCTTATTTGATGGTAATGTTTCAAGTCGCCACAACTTATTTGCTATAAGAGATTTGAGCTCCAGATCCACAGCCTCTGCCCAATGCTTATACTTCATAGCTTCCAGAAATGTTCGGGGCTCAATATTGACAGTCAAAGCCATCAAAAACTGACAATAGTTAGGAGAAAAACGAGCAGACGAGAGATAATTAGTAATGGAATAAACCACACCTGAGGAAAGCTGAGGAGTGGGTGAAGTAGTGAAGAGAGAGGACGAGGGACGTGTGAGAGGCATTTTGTTAACAACAAAGTCACAAAGCTTAACAGACAGAAGTTTGTCTCGATGACCACGGCCGAGAGGTGCAGAAATAGCAGTTGTCACCGGATCAGATATATCTATAGATGGTGCAGATACATCTGTTGTCACCGGATCAGGAGCAGTATCATCAGAGTCTTCATCCGTCGCAGCAGAGTCTTCATCCGTCACAGCAGAGTCTTGTATGGGAGACGAAAGCGTTAAAGGCAATGATACGGGAGCCTCAACGACTGAAAACGGAAATTTGTCTTCTTGAAAGACAACATCACGTGATGTAAAGATTGTCTCTCGTTCTAAATCAAACAGTTTCCAACCCTTCTTGCCATACGGATATCCTAAGAAAACACATTTGCGAGTGCGAGAAGCAAATTTGTCACTCTTGTGATCCAAATTATGAGCATATGCCAAACAGCCAAACACACGCAAATGTTTATAACCAGGAGCATGACCATACAGCATTTCAAACGGAGTCTTGTTGCGGAGAAGAGCATATGGAGTTCTGTTAATAATATAACCTGCCGTAAGTATGCATTCACCCCAATATTCAATAGGAAGATTTCCTTGGAAGCGAAATGCTCGAGCAACATTCAAGATATGCA